GCCAAAATTCCAGTTGTGGAAGATAAATCTTTCATTTAAGGCAAGAACAGGGAAAACACAAGCAGAAATCATGAGAGTATCTAGATGCTCTTCTGTGGAACTACAGGAACTTTAAGGCGGGAGCATTCAATTCACATGCCAAACTAACAACTTGCAGCCAGTCATGCTATTATCTGGCTACTCCTTTCAGCACACATTTCCCGTCATTGAATACCACACCTGGGGCCTTTTATCCTTCCCCATTTTATGTTATTCCATGAATATATTGGCCCCAAGGCCAGTAGTAAGAATATGAGGGATAAAAATAATGAGAGGGAAGTGAGAAGAAAAGGYCTTTCTCTTTCATGATGAACAACAGCAATTGTGTAGCATGAGATGGTGCAGATGTGGGAGAAAAATGTTTTTTCTTCCAGGTTTTTCCCTCTTTGTTGTGATCTTCACCTCCTGCATAGCTCTTACTTCCCGGAGTACTTCCCACCCTCCCTTACAGAGCAACCCTATGCTCTATATACCAGCAGACAATTGTGARTCATTTTGGTAGCAGGGATGCTGTGCACACTCGTTCTTCCCTGCTGGCCTGATACTTTATGTCATTTATCACTGTCCTGACTGTCACCTTATGATCTCAAGCACTTGCAACCATTTTTCCCAGGGAGCAGTGGTATCTGGCTGTGCCTGAGGTGTGTTGTCTCACTCTCTCCTGTTTAAGTGTGTGAGTTAGCACATGAAACTGAGGTACTTTGTGCAGGCTTGATTTAGAAATGTAATTTTAATTCAAGCCACGAGGGGACCTTCATAGTTTATTGTCTCTTTCCTGAAGGTTCGTCTGATCCATATACTCAGATCAGTTACAGTTTTGTTGCTTCTTCGGTAAAAAAAAAAGATTCCTTTAAGTTTTTCTTTCATTTAATAGTTGTCCACAGTTTATATMAAAAAGACCACATGTCTTGCACAGAGAAATTTGGCAGATAGCCTACAAAAATTAATCCAAAAACCCAAGAGCTCCCATTTATTGCAGCAATTGTTTTCCCATCACATGAGCTGTGTTTGGAGTCTCATTCTCCTCTTGCATGCAGCAGCTGTGTACTTGCATAACTCGATCTGGTTGTGTTTGTGTGACAAAAAGAGGATGTGACTGTAACATGCACTGACTTGCTCACTTAGTCTAATGAGCAGCAAAGAGAGAACAACTAAAACACACAGCCAGGATCCCCAGCCCCTTTGGAGCTGCTGCTGAGCCACTGAAGTGCCTGCTGTCCCTGCTGCTGCTCCTCTGCCAGCTCCAGCAGGCTGGCCCCTCCATCACCTGCTCTGCTCCCACTCCTGTGTGCAGAGAAGATCATCCCTCAGCACAGCTGCTCCTGACACCACTCCAGAGGGGCAGGCAGCCCACACAAAGCTTTTCCCCTTGGCTTCCCGGAGGAGATGTGCTCTTCATCTCAGTCACAGAGGGGAAGCTCTGCCTCAGGCATGAACACCCCGGTGAGCTGGGATCTTCACTCAGGCACGGCCAGCACTTGGGCCATCCACTTTCCTTCTAGGTCTGAAAAAAGGGCCTTTCTGTGTGAAAACAAACCCAACTCTTTTTCTCTCCAGTTATATCCTGAAAGAGATACTATAACTACTAATAAATGCTTGCATCTGTTGCATCCAAGAGACTCGTGAATCACAGCTCTCAGGTATTTCTCAAGCACTGTCAGGTCACTCTCAGCGTGGAATTGAAGAAGGTGGTGTTTCTCAGCTGTCATGCTCTAAGGTCTCTGAGAAATCTCATATGGGCAATGAACAATTATGTATCTGCTACAYAGGCCAAGTTATACCCAAGGCTCCCCTCTAGCTCATATTTAAACTGKTGTTTTCATGAAATCTTTCTAATTTGTTTAGAAATGTCCATCACATTTTTGCCTCTGTATTGTCAACGTTTGGATGCCCTATGGGAATGCAAACTGAAAGYAGAAATAAGCAATATGTTAATGATAACAATGTTTAGAAAGGGATTTCATGGGAATGAARTAGGCTTTTATTTTTGCCAATATAAATAAAGGCAGAAAGCTGTTTTTGCAGCAGGYGTGTGTGAAATGTGAAACCCTGGCAGTGCGCAGCAGTACCGATATGAATCAGAATGACTGTGATAAGCAAAATGCTGCACCCCTGGAGGTGGGAACATGATCTGGCAGTTACAGCAGCACAGAGAAAATGTGAAGCTCCTCGTTCCTGCCCCTGTCTAACTGCATGTCTGCAGTCAACTCATGTATTGTCTGTCAGTTCAGCAATCTGTAAAACAGGGGCACATTTATTTGTTGGCAAGCATCCCTAGTGGACACTGGCAGCCCTGTCCTGTCGGGAATGCTGGATTTCTTAAGTGAAAAGTACAAGTTACTAACTCCAGGACAGAGTACCATTCCTTTGGTTGAAACAGTTGTACACTTACAAATGCGGTGATACTGACTGAAAAATCTCTTCATTCTTCTGGTAGTTTTGAAAGACTCCGAGTTAAATCTTACTCACACTTTAGAGGTCAGTAGCTCTCTAGAGCAGATATGCTATGTCAGTTAAACCTATCTAATCTTATCCAACCAATCATCACTAATAAACATTATTAAAAGGACAATTTTTTTATACATGGGTTTATTAAAACAAAAATGCATTGCCAGTTTTTGTTTCCATCTTCATTATTTGAAATTAAATCTTAAAAATGATATTTTATAACTGAACTGAGTTGGTAGTCCCAGAACCGTTGCCAAGGTTAAGGTTTCCTAAATAAGGTTTCCTAATCGTAGGCCACACATAACCTTGTAATTGCAGAATCAGCAGACAGAACAACGGCTAAAAGAGACTGGAAACTGAAATGTGCTTCCACATGAAGCAGGGCTCCCCTAAAAGGTTCCTGTTTGACATATGAATGCTCACAGTTAACACCTCTCCTGTGAATAAGTACAGTTTTCTAGCTTGCTTCTAGCTTGCTTCTAGCTTGCTTATCTACAGACAGAAGCTGCCACAGTGATATAAAATAATTACATGGGTCCAACCTGTGTGTATGTATAATCTTGAATACCTATTTAAAACTGCCCTCTGCATTTTCTGCTCCAGCTATAAATTTATCACTATGAGTCTTCTTATAAAACCAATTATAAAATCATGCTTTTGATTAAACTGCCATGACTTCAGGTATATATTAGGTCTAATCAATTCTTATGTTTTGAGACTGCCTTTCTCCTACATGAAATTTGAAACTAATTGCAAAATTAATAATAAAAGCAGAGACTATCTTCTTTCWGAGAGAGCCTAAATTGATTACAGTCTACCATGAAGGAATACCCTCCTACAGGTGTTTTGGTTTTCTCTCTGCCTGTTTGGAGAAAAGTTGCACTGCCAATCATTTTACTCTGCAATTTACTGGTTGTGTTTTCAYCTAATTTGGCAGCAGCCGTCAGCCGTGCCTCACCTACCACATACACTCTGGGAGAACCCCCACAACTGATTCTACACAAACCTAAGTACACCACAAGACTTGGCCATTTAAGCTGAAAATTCAGACTCCCCAGATTCCTGTCTAGGAACCACCTAGTTCCAGAAAAGTGTCCAAAGATGACTGATTATTTATTGAGTTTCTCAGCTGCCTTCCTGCCTGCTCCTGAGCATTCACAAACTGTGGGTGCTATGAGAGGCACAGCAGCCACCTCAGAAAAAGGCATGTCATGTGCTGCCTTTTGAAACAGGCTTTTTCAAAGGTAACTTACAAGATCAGGCTGTAAAATAATAAACTGCAGCCAACTTATCTGACCGAATCACAAGACAGGTTTACAAATTATTTATGGCATCACCGGAGGGAGTAGACCCAGCCGTGGCCCGGGCTGGGACTGCGTTGGGTGTGCAGCTCACACAGACCCTTCTGCAAGGAGCTCCCAGCGCAAGCACCAGGCAAGAGAGAGCAGATGGCGAGAGACAGATGGGAGAGTACAAGGAAACAATGAGATAAATGAGCAAAAACTCAGTAGAAGACTTYAGCATTTGGTTCCAAAATTATTAATTTTACTGATCATTTCAGCTGATGTAACCCTAGGGTAGAACGCCTTTCTTGTTCCAAAGGTCTTAATAGCTACAATTACAACACATGCCGCAGCCCAGCACGGGCTACATTTTAGGTAAAGAGTGGGAGTTAAGCAGGCAAGAAGTACGAAGGCAGGGGGTGTTAAACGCCGCAATTCACTCGTAAAGGGGGCTGGGGTATCTCAGCAACCGGCGGCCTAAGGCAACCCGATCAAGCACCGCTCAGCAGGTAACGCTGCCTGACGGGCAATTGAGGCGATGCCCCAAGCCCCGGTCCCACGCGRGCCAGGCGCTCGCAGCCCGCCGGAGATGGAACAGCGAAGGGTACGGGACCCCCAGAGCGGCCGGGGGAGCACCCTCAGCTACGGGCAAAGTGCGGTGACTCCCGCGCCGCCACCCAGTCCCGCGGGCTGGTGACAGCCCTGTCACACCCCCGCCCCCGCGGGATGCGCTCAGCCACCCCAGGATGCCGCGATCCCGGACGGCAGCCCCRGAGGCCTGGAGGTGCCCCCCGGTGTCAGCGCGCACCGAGGGCAGAGTCACACACGGACCCCAGAGCGCCAGGCGCAGCCCTGAGGGGGCCGAAATCCCCAGAGCGCGTCAAAGGCCGCCTCCCCCGCGTCCCCCAGCGGGGCTGGGCTGAGGCTGCGCAGCCGCCGTGCCCGGGGAGCCGCGGCCCGGCCAGGAGTGGCGGGCGGAGGCGGAGGAGCGCGGAGGTAAGGCGGGCGTGGGGCGCCACACCCGGGCACCGCTCCGGGACTCCCCGAGGCCACTCCCCGGGGGCCGCCTCAGGGAAAGCGAAACCAAAAGGGTGGTGGCGGCGGTGGCGGGAAGGGGCGGGCAGGGGCTCCCGCGGCGCGGCTCAGCTCAGCTCGACTCGATTCGATTCGCTCCTCCCCTCAGCGCCGAGGCGGAGCGGGGCGGTGGCGGCGGGCGGGCGATCGGGCGGGCTCAGCGCGCCCCCATGGCCCTGGCACCGGGTCAGCGGGCACGGTAGCAGTCTCCGGCTGTCGTCGCGGGTGACTCAGAGCTGCCCGGGCAGGGCGAGCYGGAGATGCGCCTCTCCGCCGGGCTCCGGGCAGCCGCGGGAGACTGACTGAGCCACAAAGAAGTTTCCCCGGCGGCGGCGCGGCGCTCACCCATGCACGCCTCCGGCCGCCGGTCCTGGAGCGCCGCTCGGCAGGCGCCAGGCGCCGACCCCGCCATGGAGCCCCGCGCGGGGCTGCACAGCAGCCCGGAGCTCAGCCGGTCCAAGCGGCTGACCGTGGGGGAGCTCCGCTCCCTCTTCGAGGCTCGCTGCGCYGCCGTCGCCGCCGCCGCCGCCCGCCAGCTGCCCGACCGGCCGAAGAGGGGCTGCCGACCCCCCAACGGGGTTCTGCCGCCCGTCATCCCCCGGCTCACCGTCACCGCCGAGGAGAGCGAGGAGGCGCAGGGCAGCCCCCAGGCGCGGCCGTCGCGGCCCGAGGGCGGCGGGCTGAGGACGGGCAGCTCGCTGCACCTGCAGTCCCGCCGGCTGTCCAACTCCTCGCTCTCCTCCACCGGCTCCTCGTCCCTCCTGGAGGACTCGGAGGACGACGTGCTGAGCGACACGGAGTGCAGGAGCCAAGGCATCGTGCACTTGGAGCACGGCGAGGACACCAGCCAGGTAGGGGGCGCGGGCTGAGCGGTTCGCCCGGGACGCGCTGCCCCYTCGCCGGGCCAGCCCGGCTGCGTGCCTCCCGGGCGCCTCGGGGCCGCCAGATGCTCCCGCTTGGAGTGAGGTTTCCGTGACCCAACTCCACGCAAACTCCGGGTAACTCCTGTCCTGGGCAGGTAGCATTGCGCTGCGTGTACAGGCTGCTGCGCCTGTTGGAAAAGCGCTTCTGCACGTGGGCTCCTCAAAAACCCGTCCAGGTGTGCGCTGTTTCKTTCTGCGGTGGAATTGTGCTTGATGTCCCAGGAATATGGAGAGATGTTTTTTGGTCATAAGTGGGTTGTTTTTTCTTCTTTTCCAGTCTCCTGGGTCAGATGCTCAAAATAAAAAAAATCCAGGCATTTCACAGCAGGTATTTTTTGTCTCTTTCATTCCTAGAGTCTATGGTTGTCARTTTTTGAGCCGCTTCTTGCTGTGAGCATGACAGGAGATAGGGAGGAGCTTGGAATGGATAGAATGCATGCTTTTGTCCATTCTGGCAGCAACACATTCTTCTCAGTAAATCCCCTCTGTAATTTGGCAGCTTTCATCCATGAAGTGCACTTTTAAAGGCATGTACTTAGCTGCTTTTTCATGATCTTTAATGCATATTTGCCTGACTGCTTACAGTGTGTTTCTCGGGCTTTTGTACCTGAAAAATACAGCTTTAGTGGATTCCCCCTCCCACCTTTATTGACACCGCAGCTTAAATTGTTGTTCTGCTGCCAACTCATTGGTGCTGAATTGTTTTCAAACAGAACATATGCTTCGATAAAATATGTATGAAGAAGAAGTAATGCAACTTGTAGGTGATACCTCCAGCTGGACTTTTCTCATGGTAATTGTGGGTTTGCTACTTTACAGGACACATAGTACAGGAACTAAAATGCTGTGCACCATACTGGTTTTGTTTGCATCAACTTGTGGCCTGATTTTGGAAGAGGAAAAAAATTAAAAAAAGATTTTGTACGTTATCATGTTGACTATCAAGAAATGTGTMATAATAATACTTAATTTGTTCTTTTGATTCTGAGGTAGAATCTGGTTTGCAGGAGAAAAAAATTACTGTTGTTTTGCTTTCTTTTCTARAATACATGCTATGTGATTTTGTCAAAGTGGTGGGAGAGTAGAAATTAAAGGGCCAAAGGATCATTTGATTTAGCATCCTTGCTATTTCAGTATGTGTGGTCAATGGGGAGCAGGAATGAAATGATGACACTTTAGCTGTAAGAGAGCTCTGACATGGTGTTGTGGCATCTAGTTAAACTGTCTGTAAATATAGACTGAAGCAAAACTGATTGTTCAGATGAGAAGCTGTGCTACCTCAGAGGTTCTGCTTCTGCATCTCTGAAGTCATTTGTATTGAATGCAGTATTGAGTCCTAAATGATTAGGAGTGTATCCTTCCCTGTAGTCTGACATGCATGTATCTAACAGCATAAGTGGATGTGAGTGGTACTACTATCTTTTAGGAAGTCTTTATAGTTACCTTTTGATTACAAGAAAATAAAATATTGAAAGATCTTTAACATTGATTTATAGACAAACTAAAAATATCTGTATTATAAATTTTTTAAACTATGAGAGATTGTCCTGTGTCTCTCACAGGTGTGTGGGAAATTGAGAACTTAGATAGTATTATAATAATGCAGTTTTTGAATAAGTTTTTGCAGTTTTCCAAAGTTTGGTGCTGCTACAGGACTGTTTAATGTCTCCTTGGTAAAGTATTCCCTCAACTCAAGCAGAATACTTGACGTTTTAAAAGGCTGAGTTACATTGCCATACCCGCAGTGCAGGGGAAGATGGGCCAAATTGTCCACCAGGAGCTTGCATTCTGACTGACTTTCTTTGTGTCATTATCCTTCCTGTGGCAAATTGTCAAACCAGAGCAGAGACTGGTACCTAGAACTCTAAACCAGCAGTACTTCATGGCATTACCTAATAGATAAAATGGGCCAAATAGTTCACCTGCTCAATGAGTGCTTATGTGGTTCATCCCTCCYTTCCTTGCTTTATTTCCCACCAGGAGCTCAAATCCTAGGATTCTGCTGTTTCTCTGGTGGTCAGGTGCACTGTCCATCTCAGGTGGTCGCACTGTTCACTCACCGGTACCTGGAGGCATCCAGGAAAATTCTTGTGATTGATGTGTGTTGGTACTGCACAATGCTGTGACACTCGCAATCTGTGCGCTGTCCAGTCTTGATTCTTTAGTAAAGCAGTGACTTCATACCATGCCAAAGTTGGAGTCTGTGCTTTGAACCTCTGAGGGTTCAACTTTGCAGGGTGTGTACTTTCAACTCTTAAATAYTGAGGCAGGATGCATGAATGTGTTTTAAAATGAAAGTCATTGGATTCAAGGCAGGCACATGCAGGTGAGAATAACTTCAAATTTTGGGATAACCCAAGGGATGGTTTTATATTTTGAGGATTTTCTTGGGAGGCAATTTGGAACATTTTGTTTATATTGTTTTCAGTGTGTTTTAATAGGTGAAGGCTTGTTTTAAGAGCGGAACACAAAGGATAGAGCCCTTTTTGAAGGAAACTGAAAACAGAGGTGGGCCAAAGTTACTGTTTTCTAATTCATGGAAAATTTCAACATTTTAACATTTCCCTTGTATTGGGGAATTCCCAGAGACTTTTCTCTGGAAATGTTAGAAATTTTTTTGGACCCTGGCACCTTATGATTAAGCTCAGACTGGTGCTGGACTGTCAAGCCTACCAGGGACCTTGGAAACTTGCCCAGGTCTTCAACTGTGGGAGCAGAAGTTCTGATAATGTTCCTGTTATCAGAGCTTCAAGGCTTCCATCTGGAGACCCAGGAACGTGACACCTAAGCTGAAGAAGGCCCTCCCAGGCCTCTCTACTGTTCCCCTGGAGGTCAAGATCCAGTTGAATCTGAAATATTGTGGGCTCTCAAGCTCCCTGTGCAGGRCTGTGTATGAGGTGGGAAGCTCRGGAGCCTCGGTGTCCAGGGCTTGCTGCTCTGGAATTCTCAGGCCTTAAACCCCAGGATGGTATGCCTGAGAGTACTATCTCTTGACTGTATTCCTTGGAGGRCAGTTCTCCTTGGCAGTTTGCTTGGCAAAGAGCTTTTCAAGAGGATAAGTCATTCAGTTAAGTGTTTCACAGAGCATTCTGGGTTGGATAGATTGACACATCATGACAATGTTAAATTTTTGTTTCTTCTTGAGCGCAGTACGTGGGCATGTCCCTGGAGTATTAGGGCCCATGTGTGGGCAGAGAATACCTTGGGACCATAGCTGATGATGACAGTGCAGTCCCTGCCTGGCTGTGCTGGGCCATTTGCATCTGGGCTGGCCCACCTTTGAGAGAAGCTCAGTGGGTGGTGTTCCAGTTTCTCTGCATAAGTTATTCATGCCATTTTGCAGTAATCAGTGGAGGCTTTGAAATGGGGCTGTCCTGGCCTTCCTGAAGGAAGACCCTTCCAACAATGAAGGGTTGGAAGTATGAGAGAAGCCTATTCTGCTGTTGTCCTGTTCGTTCAACTTGTGGTTCAGTGGAAACCAATTGTGCAAAGCTGTGCTAATGGAAACTGCAAAATGCCATAGCTGGGGCTGCGTAAAGCTTGGCAGTTAACTTAAAAGAAAAAAATATTGGTTATTTTTTAAATAGCGAACTGCGGAATAGATTTTACCCTATGTCAAGAGCTAACATTTCTGCCTTRCCTTGCATTTAAATGGGAAGCATACTTTTGTAGCCTTGTTCATGCCATCTGGGAGGTGTATGTACACAGCTGAATCTTGCAGTGAAAACACCAGTGGTGCGTTTATAGTAATGGTGAGAGTACAAGAGTTACATATTTTTGTCTTCATTCTGTGAATGAGCAGTTTTAAGAAACACAAAGTCTGGTTAGCACTTTCTTTGTTGGGACAGAGACTTTAAAAAGTGGTTTTCACAGAGAATAAGCACCATGATAGTGTACAGCAACTTCTTGTCCTCTTTATAGAGAATGTTATTTACTGGATAGAAACATGCCAAATAAATCTACTCATTTTCATAACTGTGACCTGTCATTCCAAATTCCTAGAACTGTAACCATGAGAACAGCTGACAGTTTGCTAGGGAAAAAGCAGTTCATTTCTTGCCTGCAATGACACCTATCCRGAAACTTTGGGGGATAGCCATTAGTGAAGTGCATTTGGTTTGGTTTTACTGATCTTCTCGATGTTATTTTTCATAACATCAAGTACCTGAAAAAGGACAAGTGTGTAGAAAGGCACACACACTTAATAGCTAACTAACTAAATAAATTAATAAATACGGAATGAAAGTTTCAACTACTTTGGCTCAGGGGTGGGTTACATAAGCTAATGCAGTAGAATAAAATTGTTATTTTTAAATGAAGAATAGGAATGACGGGATGACATAAGTAAGACTGTTAATGGGGTTTTAGCCTACTCTCCAAAGGAAAGAAAGCATGTGTAATCACTCCATCARTTCCACTTCAACAGCTTTAGTAGGTTTCAGTCAAATTTGGCAGTGGCATAGACATCTCAAAGTTTCTTCAAGAGCTCTTTAAAGTTGCACGRAGATCAGTCTGAATGGAAGAGCAGAAACCAAAATCAGTGCATACTTTTTCTTCCCTGGGAGAGAAGGTGCCAGAGGAGCTAAACAGCTGTCGTCTGTTTTGCTTGTTGCCTGGCAAATGTTCATACTGGATAGTCCACWGGTGCTTCCATRCTRGATCCAGCTGTAGCAGGCAGTGTCTCCTCTCCTGAGGCTACTTAGGAGAAAGTGTGGGAGGGAGCATACAGGGATGTGGGCTGGTGAGGTTAGGGAATGTGGAAGGCACTAATTGAGGCACGGGGGAGAAAGTTACAAGATGTGGAAATGTTAAAAAGGTTGCAGGGCTTTTGGAACCAGTTTATAGAGGACAAAGAGAAGCTGTAGATAATCTGATAAGGTGCAGGACAGTAGATACCAGTCAAATAGAAACTGTGTTTCACTAGGGTGCTGCACAGCTGCTTTCAATAGAACACATTTCATGCTTCTGAAAAAATGCAGATTTATAATGAYAGTCCCAAATACTGAAATCTTCCCTTTGTATACTGAGCAAATATGAGGTGAGCAGCAGTAATGTTCCACATTTGCACAGTTCTTGGAACAAAACTCTGAACTCAGAGCCTTCTCTSAGTTTGAGGATGAACTCTTCGCCACTGTGCACTGCAATGGTGGAGTATACCAAAACATCAGCAGGATCAGGTCTAATGGCGACTGTTTATTAGTAATGTGGATTCATGTATATAAGGAAATGACTTTTAGCTCTTACTGAATTAGTTGAGAGAGGCAAATAGATGTCTTATCAGATAAGTTTCTAATCCTGGATATATCTGAAATGGTGATTTAGAGGTTA